TGTGGGTCGATACGCGTGCTTTAAGGACAAAAGAAAAAAAAAAATGGTTTCGGTTTCGATTAGAATTCACATGATACCGCTTTAGATATGCTCCATTTCATCTCCTACTATATCCGAAATTCCACCATTTTTCATGCGTTTAGAAAACACTATGAAGTTTGGAATTTTAAATCCCATAAAATCCAATTTTATTTTAAATTTTCTTGGTTCCAAATACTAAGAATTCCATATCCCATCAAATCCAGCATTCCAAACACACCGGAAGACTTTTAGGTTTGAAATTCAAGAAATCTCAAATAAGCATCTAAAAGGAGGAGAGAACACAAGGAATTCTTATTCTGTGTTTGGTTGAATGTAAGTGGACATCTGGAAACAAACAATGATCTTGAATGGTTATCCAAAGTAAACATGGGCCTGTTTCAGCCTAGTCAGTGTAGGCCTAGAAAAAAATGGGCTTCACTAAGGGCCAAGTTGAACATTGTGAAACTCTGAACTTTATGAGATATTATTACATGATTTCAAACCAATCACATAGTAACAAACAAGCAAATACATTCACTTTGTGTCAGTCTTATTGCATTTTTTGCTTGCATATCATTATGTAATTGGTTGGGACCAATGGTCCCGGATCATACAATAATTTATCAGAGTTTGATAGTTTGAGATACAAGTGATAAAAAAACACTTCACTATAAGTTTTCCTGTATTTTTATTAATCTGTTTTTCACTAGCGTAAGATGTTTAAAACTCCATTGTGAGATTCAATATTGTAGGCCCCACTGGCAGATCCAGGGGCTGGGGTGTGCTCAAGCCCACCCCCAAAATTTTTTTTTTTTTTTTTTTTTACTATACCTAATTTTAGCACAGCCAAAAAAAAAAAAAAAAAAAAAAAACCAAAATTACTACTGGTATTAGTCCACCCAAAAAAAATATTAACCCATTCAATTGACAATTTCTGGATCCGCACTAGGTTGGCCCAGAATTTGTCTGTTGTTGCCTGGGCTGGTGCTCACTCAAAATAAATTCTCGATTTGAACGTTATCTCAACATCTCAACCACCTTTACCTATGATTGTAAAATTTTCGGTCTGGACATTGGTTTCGGATGAGGCCCACACCCACTCTTGCTCATGTTTAGGTGCTTTCGTGGCCTTGTTGTAGTCTCATTAGGGGTGGGCCCTCTGGGCTTGCATCTTTAATTTCTCAGAGAGGGCGCTTCGCACTTCGCAGGGCCGCTTTGGGCTTTGGTAGCCTCTTATTTTTTGTATAGTGTCTAAATTATCAACCATTTGATTTGATGATTTTTCTCCTGTCACCTTTATTATGCATAGGAAAACAAAAGGAGAAAAATATATATCTGTATATATATAGTTATACATACATACAATTATATAGAACCTTATTACTGGCAGATGGAGATATTTATTTTATACTTTCGTCAATTATTTATTTCTTACATTTACATTATAGATTATAATTCTGAATTGAACAACTGGCCTTTTATGTGGCTACTTATGTAAAGTAGCGGGTGCAAGGTATTGGTAGGTTATCACATTGGGTGAAGTATAGGTGTACAATTTCATATCAGTGTAAAAAGGAGAAATGCCATATATAAGGTTCAACACCTTTCTATAACATAACGTATTTTAAAGCCGTGATGACATGAACTCATCAGAATTTTAAAGTTAAGCGTGCTTATTATGAAATAAGTTAAAACCAAACTTGTGCTAATATTATTAAATATTATCAAATGCTATTGAATCTAACCTAATCTATGTATATTATGCATGCCACTAGTGTCCTAACATGCATGGCATTAATTGCTTGAATTTCATTTGCTGCTCTCTAGTGTTAGAAAAAGATTTCCATAATCGATTTCTCATTTGCTGATTATATATCAATATCATCACAGTTCTGAAAAAAACATTTAAATGTCGACCAATGATATACTTTGGAATGATTAAAAAAAAAAAAAATCGTCACCTTTGACGTCTCTCTTGAATTTCCAAACAGAAAATGAATGCATATATATGATTTATACGTGTTCAAAACTAGTCCATTATAATTTAGGGGTATGTTGTGTGCACTATGTGTTGTAGTGATCACCATTGTCCAATGAAGTCGAAGAAATCTGGATAGTAGCTAGGTGTAATGGTTCATTTCTAGCCAGATATACTTCTATGAGTTGTAATCTGTCAAAACTTTTATGGAAGAAATTATTGCAGATTTCATCAATATATGCTCCTTTATTATTATAGTTGGAATGTTGTGAAATTGACGTGAAGCAAATAATGCAGGTCACAATCATTGTTCCTCATCTTCATCAATTCCACATATTTTATTTGCCAATGAATGAAGTGGTCTTTTACGCCACAAAAACTGGATATTGGATTTCTTCGAAGGCCTCCATTCCGCGGCAAGTAGGATTGGTTTCCGGGAGGTTAATTCAAGAGGTCTATCATCGCGGGAGCAGCCTATGGAAATTTTCCAGCAGGCCAGTGTGGGGGAGTGTTGAGTAATTTAACATGATGGAATTTGTGTTTAATTTGATGCAGACCCTAATGGATGTTGCTGTAATGGCACTTCCTCACCATGCTCTGAGCTATTCATGTGTATGAAGGTTTAATTGCTACATAGAGATCCTATTGATTGAAAACATGACCACATCTGTTGATTGAAATATGGACATGAGTAGTGCCACGATCATAATTAATGCGACTTATAGTGCTAGAAAACTTTGTTTGCAGAGTTGGTACTTTTTCATTTTTTTTTAAAAGTTAAAGCAAACACACACTCATTATTCATAATAATTCCTGGGTAAGAATCGAACTCTTCACTTCCTCCATTGGAGAGGAGAGAATTGGGATAGAGAGCCCTTTCATACTTTAATATATATGCACGCTAATTCTACCTTAGGTTCCATTAACCTTTCGCCTCTCGTATGTCATATATATAGCCGAAACACACACACAAAAACACGTACAGCACAAAAGTTCATGGGCTTACTTTCAAAATAATCAATTATCAACAACCACCACCTTTAAAGGTTGCTTTAAATATAGAATCACAGTACCGCAAGTCAAAGCAAAGAAGAAGGTGGAACCCTGAATAGGAAACAAGGAAAATTCTCAAAAGAGAGAAAAGGAAGAAGCATCTTCTTCTTGGGAAGAATGGAAGGCGCGCAGTTGAGAGCTGCTTAAAGCAAAAAATGAGAATCACAGTGTTTTATCAAAACACTTGGCAGTTGAGACCTGCTTAAAGCAAAAATTAGAATCGCAATGTCACACCAAAACACTAGTCATATATACATTGGTTTTCCCCTATATAGTAAACAAATAGTGGACTTGATATTAATGTTTAAAAACTTTAATGGCCGTACAAGGTTCTCTTATTTATTTATTTATTTTATTTAGAAAATAAATAAGAAATGATTGTGCAGTACAAGAGCTTTCGTTGCCTGCGCATAGCAAATCTCTTCACTTCTTGTGCGATTAGATTTGTTGTTTAATCTGAATCTAAATTATATTGTAACACTATTGAATTGAGATATTTCACAATTGGGGACTCATTATTGATGTTTGTTTTTTCTTTGTTGTTTTAGGGTTAGAATTTGAGTAGTAACACCCCATCGATCCAACTGATTATGCTTAACTCTATTTTCGATTAAAATTAAAGTATATGTTACGTTAGCGTGTTGTCTTTAAAGTATCAACTTAATTTTAAATTAATTTAGTACCATTACATAAAATTTTAAATCCGTAGAAAGCATAATGAGCAGTTAGCTTCCTTCAATTATTGTTGCTTTTTACATAATTTTTAAAATAATCCCACTAGTGGAGCTTCCAACAACTTAGATAGATGACACCAACGTGCACTACCAAGAACAAGAAATTTTAAATAAAAGTAAAGGCGTCAAAATAAAGGAAATGAGTGTATGTGTCGTACGTGTGTATATGTATATACCACTCAGCGCGACAATGCTTGTCTTTGTGTACCACTTGTGAGATATTGATCGATGTGTGCCCAAACAAAGAGAATTCCTATAAAGGATAAAACTGTCAAATTTCACCACAAATTTGTTTCGTTTCCTAGTTAGGTCTCAAAACTTCTACCATACTCATTACTCAAATGGCTTTTTGCCTTTAAAGTTGCTAACATTATTGATTATTAATAAATAAGATGTTCATAGAATGACAATTGCCAAATATGCCATTTCAATTCGTTTGTTTTTAAATATTGTTATATGAACGACTCATTGTTTAAATGATATAACCTTCACACTTTTAAAGAAGACATAACCTTCATAGTTTTAAATAAGAAGAGGAGCAGTTAGAACTTCAACGTGAATAATGTGTGTGCGTACTTGAATTGTTAACAAAAAAATGAAAAGGGGTTAAAAAAAAAAAAAAAATTAGAATCCTATAGCTATCCCATTACAAGGGTCATACTTAAACACGATCTTTGAATATACATAACTACACTGAATTTTGTAAATAATATGTTAGAACACGAATTATTACTATTTCAACACTATTACTTCGGGATAAAAGTAAATAGTTAAGACTATATTTTAATTTTGTTAAAACCTTCTATGGTATAGTGGCAGTGCATAACATCCGACTTATCAATGTGGTTGGATCTAATGCCGTAACGGAACAAAACTGATCCGACTTATCAATGGGGTCGGATCTAGCGTTGTAACCTCACGAAACTTTACGGCAGAGGATCACAAACAGTACAGTACAGCATATAGTTAAACATATATTTAATTACTGCTGTACTACATTTGCTAGCACCGCTTCTTCTCGCCGCATAAGAGACATAACCGTGGATGCCTTACACGTGTACTTCTTCATCTGACTGAGTGTCAAACTCAATGCTGATGATGCATCTTCATTTTCAAGCTGGTCTTGGATTTACCAAAACCAACCCAGTCAAAATTTTGGGCAATCGGACCTTAATTTTCTTCCTAGTACACAAATACAGAAGAAATTCACAAAATTGTGAGTAAGAACAGCTAAATTTCCATTTCATTCTCCGAAAACAATTTACATTTCCGCAACTTGGAATTAAAAAAAACAAAAAAAAAATGGAAAGAAAGAAAAATGAAAAAAAATCTACCCTACAAAAGCCCACCCGAATCACGGTTAAAAGCCCACTAAGCAACACCTGCAATACGATCTCTGGAGAACCAAACTAATCATAAAGTGATGATAACTTGGGGGGAAAAGAGAGAGGAAGAAGAAACAAATCAAGGGACCTGATCTGAGGTCTCACGGTTCACCATGTTCCTTTCTTGTACCGGATCATCACTCCCCTGTTTCGGCTTTTCGGACTCTTCCTCTGTTTTTTCGCCGCTACTACTGTTACTTCCGAAAGAAGATGCTCTGCTCGAAATGGGTGTGGCCAAGAAGGTTGGCTTTGCTTGTCCCGCCATTATCACCAGAATTTTCTCTTCCCACACCGGCTGGGGTTTCACCTTCTCATCGGAATTGGTTTCGCCGGTCTCAAGGTCCGGATCAGCGCTGCCATCGCCGTTTCCGTTCTCGAGGTAGCCGGACAGCTTCCAGTAAGAGCAGGCGAGGATCAAGAGAGCGAACGCTATGAGACCCAACATGGCCGCCAGGCCGCCGAAGAGGTAGGGGACCGGCGAGTGCCAGGCCGAGTGTTGCACCGGTGTCGGTACCGGCGAGTTAAAAGCCTCGGTGGTCGTCATTTTTATTTCTAGATTAGGAATGTTTAAAAAACAGAAAGGGAGAAAGAAACAGGAAAGAAGACGAGAGATGGTGGAGTAGACTGTAAAGTTCAGCTGCTACTTATAGAGAGAAAAGATGAGAAAATTTTTCTGTTTTTTTTTTTTTTAATCTTTTAATTTAAGCCGTCATAGTGGGGTCCACCTCAACACTTTGTTTAAATCTGGGTATACAGTAAAAACGCACATAGGAGGAGCACAAGGGTAGGGTAATGTAATGATTTATATAGTGACGATATAATCAGTGGGTCCCACATTAACTTGTGGGACACTCTCTCCTTAACTTTTTCTGTGCTCCATGTATTAGGACAAGAGTTTCTATTATACCAGAAATTAGTAGGTAATCAACAACGATAGACCAATTAAATCAAAATATTTGTTCAGTTTATTTATTTATTATTTTTTAAATATTTTATTATTCTCATTAGTTCACTTTCCATCCATTGTTATGTTGTTGGAGATTCAAAATGAGTTGTTTTCATGTGTGTTAGTTTTCGATCTCTTGAAAAAATAATTAATAATCGCAGTTTTTTTTTATTGCTTGAATTACAATAGATCGCTTTCAATCCATTATCCAAAAATTTGGTAGTTTAATTTCTTGTGAAAGTTGGCAAAACCTTGTTTTGGAAATTGTTACCTGAAATGGAGATTATAATTAGTGTGTGATTTGGATTTATAAGAATAATTTTTTATTTTTTAAAATTTGATAACTAAAAATCTGTACAAAAATTTATTTGTGCCAGAAAAACAAACAACCATGTTTGTTTGGACCTTCTCTCTCTCTCTCTCTCTCTCTCTCTCTCTCTATATATATATATATATATTTCAGAATGGATCTTCTACATGATGAGGGTGCATCAGGTATCATGCACATCATAATGGCATATCCTCTGAAGCTCCTCAACTGAAACATAGTTATTTGTGCCAGAAAAACAATCTTTAAAGAGCTTCAGAAAAGATAGACGACCGGACATAAATTATTAATAGTAGATAGTTCTAATCTATTCTCACTTGATCTTATAAAAATGTATTATTAATTATTAAAAATAATATATTAATATATTACAAATAAATTTTAACTTGGTCATTTTTTATTAAAATAGTCTAAGAAAAATTTACGTATTAAATGAATTAAGCTCATTTAATAATTTCTTAACAAATTTTGTTTCAAACACTAATTTTGCACTGCTCATGATAGAATTATTCTACACGTTTCTTCTAAATTTTAAAAAAATATTGCTTAGTTTTAAAATTATTGATATGCAAACAAAAAATTAAATAAAATTAATATAATATTAATTATTTACTTACGTGTTAACTTAGGGATTAATCCCGTACTAGTAGTCTCAAAACCATGTACGGAGTAATAGTTTTTATTGAAATGAACTTTTTCATTTGGCAAGGCCGCAAGTTTTGGGCTTTCACTCGAGCTACAAATGAACTTCACGTGACATGTACTTTTATGGGGGCTTTATTTGCTTTTGCTTTGAAGTTACACACACTTTTACAGTTTCAAAATACATTATTTCACTGACAAAATAGTAGAAAAAAGGTCCGTTCTAGAATCTAAATACCTTTTTTCTATATTTGAAATTTAGTAAAATATAAAATTAATTTAGTTAATGCATCCAAAGGAATATGCTCTACAACCTTAGATTTACATTTAGATTTAGGTGTGTACGTCACTTTGCCTTCGTCCATAATTTACAGCCACGATATCAGTCACGACATAAGGAATTTTAACAAACAATTATCTATATATATATATAATATATATTAGTAAATTCGATCCATTCATGAATCAATAAATAATATATGCCATATGTATAAAAAACAAAAAAAATTATATATATATATATATATATATATATATAGACTGTATCTATGTGTGTGGCAAGAATCAGGTGGTTTAATCATAAAAGCATTCACAAGAAAAGTGGTTGAAGAGTGGGACCCATAAAGCTTTAGCCTGGCATCCCATAAATCATATGACCACTCCCATTTATACCATATTTTTAGTTTAGCAAACTACGCAAAGCAGAGTTTGCAAGCACCAGAAACCAAACTCTATCCACTTCCTCTCTCTCTCCGCTTAAGGTCTGGTATGGTTTTTTGCTAGTTACAGTCACGGAGTGCGTGGGACCTACCCCTGCAACATGTTCCCAGATGGTGTTGATATGGGGTCCCACCTACCCAAAGTGCACTAATTTGTCAGCTTCCACCACCCGACGTACACGCCAAGGACATGAGGATATTCCTTTCCATGTCATACGTACAAACATGATACTACTGTTGCAATTACTTTTACCAATTTTAATTTGTTGAAATAAAGTGATACTACCATTGCATAAATATATATACATATATATAAAAGATTGTTAAATTGGTAATTTTAGAATAATTAAAAATAAAAAGGTGAACTTTTAATTTGAAACAGAAATAGTATATGTTATTAAACTCATAATAACCAATTAAATTTAAATGAAGAAACTATATATAATTGCTTACATTTGATAGCTAGTAAAGTTGCTATATATCATAAGTAAACAAACAACATACATACAGATCTTAAAATAAAACATACTTGTTTGAATTCACTATTAATTTATTTGATGAGTTCGATCTTCACTAAATAAAATGGAATCATTAGCATATATTCATGTATAATCGATCAACTTTGTTTCAGATGCATGAATTGAGTTATGTCCTTTCATATTCATTCCCTCACATTACCATGAATGTAAACTGATTAATTAATAATACATAAGGACGGAATCAAACAGTTTTTAATAAATCAATCACAAGGATAACTTTAAAAAATGGCTTCATTCGAATAATTACCTAAAATTTACGTGACATCTCCACTTATATTATGTATATTAAACGCAATGTCATCCACAATTAAACAATATTTACTTTTGCCAAAGTGGGATTACCACCACTTTAATTTGATTGTTTTTTGTTATTTTTGGCTGCTTAACTATTTGAAAATGAAGTGGGTTACCACCACCATTACAATTGCTTTTTGGTTGATCTTATTTTCCAAACAGCTTTATCTTTGTTTTCAAATATTGTTATTATAAAAATTGATTAAATAAATATCTCCCAAAGCTTTAAAGAAGAGAATAGGATCATTATCTTGATACTTATATTTGTTTTAGTAGATTACACTTGTCCTATAGATATAGGTACATATATAATAGAAGATATGGTGGATATATATATATAGGGCATTTGAGTGGGAATGGCAGTGAGGTACCATGGTAGGGATTGAGGCTACTTGTTTTTTCCTTCACTTTAATGAAAGCCTACATCTCTACTGGTAATCTAAGAACAAGAGAAGGGCCACCTATTTCGATTGATTGGGATAATGTTGGAATATGTTGGCACAACTCATAATGTGTAACAAAGAAAGAAAGAAAAAGATGAGCACATGTTCTCTCTGGTGGATATATATTTTGTGTCTTTTTATTATATGCTTTCAGACAACATTAATTCGTTTCTTATAGTGTAATTATGAAGTGCATGCATGTGAATGCAGAATAGGTTGGTGAAATATTAAAGAGGGTGGTTATTTTTATTTATAAATGGCTTGAAGTTACTCGAGTTTTTGCCATTTGAAACAAAAAGATGCCCTCACTATTGTCAATGTTAGTGCACCCAAATTAAACACTTGCTTTGTATATCTATTGATGTAATTTTCAAAATTATTAGAGAAATTTTTTTTTTTTTTTTTTATAAAAAATAAAAAATAAAAATTTGAAGCTAAAGAAATGATGCAATTATCCACATAACAAAAAATGTGTATGTCTATTGGTTCATTTTTCTTCAAGATGGTAATTAAAAAGAGCAATGATAGGGAATCTGACACTCAGATACAGACTAAATTTATGTACGTAAGGGATGACGTCATGATGACATTAATATATTTAATGACGTCACACTCACATAAATCAGTCGAATACATCTGACTTTAAAAGTACTTATCTTATTCAAGGGAAGTTCACTCGGCAACACTATGAGAAACACTTCAACAATATGTAACAGTTGTAGGTATTTGTTTTCTGGATCAAATATATATATTTCAAATTATTATTTTTTTTTTAAAAAAAAAAAAAATTGAAGTTAAAGAAATGATGGAATTATCCACATAAAAAAAAAAAGTGTAAGTCTATTGGTTCATTTTTCTTCAAAGATGGTAATTAAAAAGAGTAATGATAGGGAATCTGACACTGACACATCCAACTAAATTTATGTGCGTAAGGTATGACGTCATGATGACATCAATATATTTAATGACGTCACACTCACATAAATCAGTCGAATACATCCGACTTTCAAAGTACTTATCTTATTCAAGGGAAGTTCACTCGGCAACATTATGAAAAACACTTCAACAATATGTAACAGTTGTAGGTGTTTGTTTTCTTGATCGAATATATATAAATGGGAATATCACTAAACAATGTGAGGAATACAAAAGAAAGGATTGAGCGAGAAAAAATCAGTCCAACTTTGGGGATTGAAGCGGAGGTAGAAAAGAACGATTACTAGAATCTGGCGGAGACCGACCATAGATCCTGAGCTCATGATCTACTCCTTTGTTCTGGCCTTCTCTATTCCTTCAGCCTCCTTTTTTTAGCCCTAGATCACTAGCCTTTTACCCATTCGGCCCATGGATAAAGTGACTCAAGGCCTATGTCCCTATGTGGGTCATGATGCCCTAATTTCGACTTTTCCGGACCTGTTGCCAGGTCGACGTATATTTTTTACACCCTTTAGTGCCTATACTGCCAAAAGCAGGTGTGGCCCTCATTGAGTGTGGTTTGGCCTATTAGAGGGTGATGTAAGGGTCTCTGCACTTATTCCAAGCCGCCTTTTCGCTTTTCCCTAAGTTAGGCCTGCTATCGCAAGACTCGAAGCTAATCTTCCATCCTCTTTTTCAAAAATCCCTTAAGCATTCCCAATGGCTCTAAAGAGTCCTACCACTACTCTTCATTGTTAGATCCATCAATCGGCGATTGACCTGGTCGGATCGAGGTTCTAGGT